ATTACTCTCGCCATAATTTCATTATATAACTTGTGTGTTTCATTTCTCTACAGTTATCACAAATTTGAACATATCTCTTGTTCTTAAATATTGACATCACAATATGTCTTCAAGAATTTGGTATCCTAGTAATCTAAAAAATTTCATAGAAAATAATTATTATCAAAAACATTAAAGTATCACTCGTAACACTCCAAATCCAAGTAGAATATCATCTAAATCAAAAGCCTTACATTTTTACATCTTCTTCAAAGCTATATCTATTCTAATCATAAAAGAAAAAGATAATGATAAACCAATGTATTCTATTTCAAAGTAAAATTGAATTGATACCTACAATTAAACCTTATTTGCTCCTTTCTGACACAACATAAGGCAAGTTAACAAATCACTTATTCATCAACCAAATTTTAGTTTTCTAACATTTACAATTTTCAAGTTAATTTTTCTTAAATCTCATATGGATTGAGTAAAATAATAAAAACAAAAAATTTAGATCGTAAACACTTTTTTTAATTTCTACTGGAGATAAGGTTGATGATGATGACAGCTCTTTTTCACTTCTAACCAACAATGCACCTTTCAAATATAATGGATCATCCAAGAATCAAAATATATATTTAAAAACAAAATATTTTTTAATAGTAGAGTACTTTAACAAGTGAGATTCCAACATCCAAAAATAGCAAACAAGTTCTTCTATTGAGTGAGAATTCTTTGTTTTAGAATGACTAAATAGCACAAATAGAAACTTTCATTCAACTATTTCAAAGCTCTCTGGTCAAGCTAAGTGTAAACATAACAGACTTTTACCTGTTGATTAATCTCTTGAACAACTAAAGTATAAGCTTTAGTCTATGAGGGTGCCCCTTCTATTTTAGACAACCATAATTCTCGAGTCAAGCTGTGTAAACATAATAGATTTTACCTATTGGTTAATATTTTCAATAGCTAAATTATAAGCTTTAGTCTATGAGGGTACCTTCTATTTGAGACAACCAAAAAGAATAGTAGTATAGATCAATAATTCTTTTAAAAAAAATCATCAAAGTAATTTGGAAAATTTAAAAAATATTACAAAAAAGTGAGATCAAGAATATAATCAAATAATTTAAAAGCAAATTCCTTACTCCTAGTAAGAGTAATGATTGCATTCGCAATGTTAATACCAAAGAATCTAATATTGATTAGGATTAATTTTATTTTGCAAGCAAATATAACCAAGTCAATTTTATCATTTAATAACTTATAGACGTTTAGATAGGTCGTCGACATTGATGGAAGACATAAAACATCATCTATATGCACAATAACATATTAAGAATATTTCATTCATAATATTTTAAACTTCTCTTGTGTATTTTTACAATTTAACATAATAACATTCTATTCAAAATGACCGAATAAAACAATGAAAATGGACTTGTAATAATTTAGTTGATGGACTTGCACTCTCAAAATCCTAATTTTAAATCAAATAATGAAAATAGTAATAGATTTACAATGTCATTTATAAAATCTTCTTTGTCAGGGATTGAATATTTAATATATTTTAAAATGCAATTAAAAACATATTATTTATCACCAATCTGACTAGCTTTTTCACATGCGCTCATAGCATAAAAAGTTGTACAGCTCCTTCATGAATAAAACTTATAAATAAGACCTTCAACTAAGAGATCATTGCGGGTTGATCGCATTTTTTTATTAAGTTTTGGATAACCGCAATTCATTTGACAAGGACAAGCACTTGTAGAAATATTATTTCCATTAAAATTGTATTCAAAAAAAGGGCAATATGAATTTTTCTATTCCAAAAAAAAAATAGGATTATTGCAGCAAATCTTCTCATGGATTTTTCTGGCTAAATATACGTTTTTCCAAAAAAATAATAGGATTATTGCAGCAAATCTTCTCATGGATTTTTTTTTTCCTTTTTTTTTTTTTTTGTAATAAGAGATATTACTCCTAATTTTTTTCAGTCTAAAACTTTAATAAAGTAGGTTTGACATCAATATCTTTTTTTTTTAAATTAATATGAAGCTTTTAAATTGAATTTTATTCACTTCACTAAGAATATTCTTATGGTTGATAAACCAAAAAATGATTTATGTTTTAAATTTCCCAAAATAATTTTCAATACTATCGATTTTAAATTTTAGCATAATTTCTATTAAAAGGTACCCCAAAGATCATATGTTGTGAAAAATGTATGCAAGAAAAAATTTTAAATACAAATGTTATCTTTACATATTATTGCAAACATCAAAGTGTGAATGCTAATAAGTTTGCCATAAAAATAACTTTCAAAAGAAATATGGCTAGTATAATGATTACAGCAATGTTGTTTTCCCCGGTCAAAAAATGATTGAGGAAGCCCTTGTATAATTTGTTGCTTCCAATGAAAATTGCCAATATAAAAAAAAAAATTATACACTTAAATTTTGATTGATATAAAATAGTCAAAAGGTTAAATATAAAGATAATTGAAAACTTTTCCATGATACATTTTCCAATTACACTTTAATACAGATAAATATAAATGGTAGCATCTTGGAAAAAGATTCTTGTCTATCAGTACTTTTACCATTTGTAGTTGCTATCATCTTATTCAAGCACTGCTTAGGTTATGAATCCAAAACATAAATAGTAATTAGTTGATATATTATTAATAAACTATTCTCGTAAATAGTGTTAAGAAGAATGGTTAATTAGAAAGTTTCTATTCTACATATAACCCGTTTGAAAAAAGAAAAGCTATAAAGAATAATGAATATCTTTCCCTTTTATCTTTTATTCTTTACTTTGGGAGCTTGAACAAGCTCAAATTGCTTTATTTGGATTGAATATTCTATCTTTGGTGCTCTCGTTAAGATCATCATCATCCATTCCCTATCACCATCGCACCAACACATCAATCATCATCACAGCTTATTCAAGACCTCAGTGTTGGTGCAACTATATTCATTAAAACGATACAAGCGACATCATACGATGGATCAAATAATCAAGATATCCCAACACCCAATGCATCAATCACCAACTTCTCCACCTCCCACAACCCATGTAACCCATCTCTAGCCTTTTCATGCTTCTTAACAAGAAACTAGCAACATCGTGATTCTATCAATTATTGATTTCCGGTACAACTTTATTATCCTTGTCAAAATCCAACAGATTTCACCACTGAGAAGCAATGAACTTCATCTACACCAACTTCAAGAGCAATCTCTGATCTCACTTGAGATCACCTACGCCTCCAAAGTGCTTTGATTCAATCATTGCATTAAGACATTTGATTTCTTTCAAACCCATGACCTTCGGCTCTATTGCAACGCTTGGATCCTTGCTTCCGTCAAAATGCCACTAAAACACATCACTAGCTCTCTACACCGCTATCTTTGTTGACTCCACCATATGGAGCACTGACTTCAAGCTTTTCCCATCCGAAAATCTACACTCAACATCAAGAATCCAGCATATTCCGCATTACGTCCATGCTAAGAGCTTGCCCGGATCCTCCAAGGTCATCAAAAACAGTAGTGCTCCTCTTTAGATCATTGTTCTTCTCAAGGCAACTTGCTAAACTAAAATTGATCTAATCTCACCTAACGTCCGAAAAATGTTGTTGACTGCTTGCAAATTTTTTCAAACTTCATCTATTATAGAAGAAATATAAAAATTGCCAACAACAATGACAACTTGTACAAAAAGTGTTAGAAACCTGGAGGAACAACTTTCATCAAGCATGTATATCTCCAAATATCTAACCCAAGTATAGCATATGGAGAAACTATAACTCCTAAATCAATGAAGAAAGAGAGATTGATGACCCATTTAAGAGCATCTATAGGTTGCATTTCGCCTTTATTATTATCCGGCGATCATTTAAGAAATGCTAAAATAGATATTCCTCGATTCAATAGGAAATTCCAACAGAAAACTTCTTTAAGGTGAATCAGATCTTTTATACAATAATATGATAAATGTGTATTGCTTTATAATTTCCTCGATGTGTAGGGATGGTTCAGGCACGCTATTAGAATATTGGATGTCCTTGAACAAACATTTGGGTTCTCAGAAGTCTTTTCAAACAAAATATCCGCCATGTTTTAGCCCTCCTCCAAGTACCTGAACAAATGTGGATCACAACATCACAAGCTAGTTTGCTAAATGGCAAGGCATGTGAAGAGAATTGTGATCGGACAAATGAACATCATATTCATAAGCAGTAAGAGATGGACTCAAGGAATTCCTTAAATGCCAAGTGGTTGATCGGCTAATTATTGAGTAAACATGTATTCAATAAATACACCATTTTAGGATAGGATGGGTCATAAAAAATAATGGATATGTTTCCCTTTTTATCTTCTATTCTTTCTTTTGGGAGCTTGAGCAAGCTTGAATTGCTCAATTAGATCGAGGAACGAATCAGGAAGAATCTCTATAATTATAAGTTGCATTCATAAGTACAAGGAAGAGAAGAATAAGCAATCGGACAATATATAATTTTAAAAACGAGAGATAAATTCTGCATTCAATCCATGGAGAGGATCCGACATGTTAACGAACAAGGTCAATAAATCCCAAACAACCATGTAAGAGATTAAACCACAGACAGAACATGGATCAGATTTGAAAAGATCTGCCTACGAGAAATACAAACTAAAATCCATAGCCCAGTCGCTTGCTGTACGAAACATCAACGCATGCCCTTGAAGGGCGTCCAAAATGTCAAAAAATCCATCAGACAAAATTAGAAATTTCATAACCACTGCCCAGTCAACCTGGACGATCCTTGTTGATCCATAAAAAAAAAATCTGACGATTTTCCGACCGATCTCACACATCCCTTCAGCTAAACTATAATCAAACCAAAAAAAAAAAAGAAACAAGATCTAATCGTAGACTCTCACGAACCAAAAAAAAAAAAACACAGATGAAATGAACCTAACTAAACTCAGTAAAAAAATACAGAAACATGGAGAAGAAATTGTCACCGCTGTCCCCAATCAAAAGGAGCTTGATGAGGTAATCATAATCTGCGCGAGCCCTAGGAGGAGCAGCAGCCATGTATAAATCGCGGACGAGCTCCTAAAATCCTATTCCCCACGAGGAAACTCGGATCCGCTCACTGAAGATCGATGCAAGCAAACACTAATCAAACCAAGGATCCAAGAATACAAATTTGTCATGTGATAATCGAAAATGGGAAAAATAATACCAGATTGAGAACGATCGAGAGGAGACAGAAGGGTTCCTTTGGACGCTGGTCGGCCGTTTTTTCCTTTTTTTTTTTTTCCTCTCCCTCCCTCCCTCTCTCTCTCTCTCCCTGCTGTACAATTTCGCAGTCTGCGTTAAGACATTGGTCTGTCTTATATTTCACATTATCGCAATTCTACTTCAGTAACAAATAAGTTACTGTTTTCCAAAAGTTCCTATAAATGTGACGGCCTTAAGAAAATCATTATCTAATAAGATAGATAGATATATATAAATAGATAGATAGATATATATATATATATATATATATATTATATATGTGCGCGCGCGCGCGCACGTAGTGTCGTGTATGCTAATTTGTTATTTGGCATCCACAATATAAGATCCTTCAAGGATGTGGTACTCGAATTGTCATGTATATTAGTGGTGGCCGATTGCTTCTGTAATAATCTGTGGTGATTCTTTTTTAATATATATTTGTGTGTAGCTATAATTCATGTGGTTGTTTTTAAGATGTTTATTTCTTCAGTGTTATTTTACAATTAATTTTAAAATAAACTATAGTCCCTAAGTAAGATGATTCCACTAATTTCTCAAAAAAAAAAAATGATGAACGATATGTTTTTTTTCTAAATTTTAAAATAATAATTAAATTATATTTCAAAATAATTTAAGATGCTAAAAGTTTAATATCAATTGTTATAAATTAATAATTAGTGGGATGACAAAATATGTCTTTTCAATAGGAGCCAAAATATTAACCAAGGGAACATAAAACATTATGCACAAAATCAAATTCTCTCCATTTTTATTGGCCTAATTTAATTAAACAAGAAAATACGCTTTACAAAAATAATACGTTTTATATATTAAAATAATATTTGTCTGCATGTGTGTGTGTGTGTGTTTTGTCTTCCATTTTACTAATAGGTCGTTTATTTTCTATCTCTTTCTCTTGATGTGGCATGTTCACTTGCTCATTTATCTAGCTTATAAATATGAGAGAGGGATAAAGATAAAACGAGCCTCCAAGTTGTGTCATTTCAATGATATAGCATGAAATTTAATCACTAAGAACATGATAGAGTTAATAACAGAAGAGGATCGATAGGCGTTATTAAAAATATTTTAAGTAGTTTGCACCGATCGAACCAGTAGCATTATAAGGGAGAGGAAGAATGAAAACTATAATATTAGATGAAGAAGAGTGTAAACTCTTAATGACCATCCACATTTAGTTTCTCCATATTACAATAGGATGAGTTCATTCTAAACAAGATTAAAGTCACACAATAGGTAAAATGATGGTATTTCTAGTTAAATGTTGGTTAGGGGTGTTATTGAGGTAGAAGCAACATAGAGGATGTGTATGACCAATTTTGACACAAGCAAAAAAAATAACTCATTTGAAGAGACTAGAGATAATCACAAGCCATATGGTAACCTTTGGAAGGTAGGGTAACTTACAAATGATTCAACTCTAAGTGTGATTTATATAATTGGTATTTGAGGTATAGACCACATGACACAAAGAAAGAGAATAGATAACGTGATAAAATTCCTTAATATGTATATTTTATAGCAGTTAATCAGTATAAAAAGCAGATGATTCCTGATATTTCCCTAAAAAATAATAATTCACACGAACATTGACATGTACTTTGATTGAAAGCCTAAAAAATCAAAATTGAAAATGTCTACACTTTGATTTAGATCAAGGAAAGAGTCTCAAAGAAATGAACAAGGTGATATAAAAAATGATCCGACCAAAGTCTATGTAGGCCCAGATAATACACTTAAAGCATAGATGGAAGTTTTGAAATATATTTTAGGGAACTAAATGATCTCCAAATTGATAAACTTAAGTCAACTCGAGTGTCTCGACAAGCAAAATCCAACGAGCTTAAAATCACTTTGTTTCGACATCATTAAGCTGCTTAAATGCTCATAAAATACCATCTGATTAAAGAAATTAATCTAGGTTGTCTAATTGAATAGTTTGGATTCATGCAGTGTTTACAAATGATGTCACTCACATAATCTATAAATAGACTTACACTCTCTTCATGAGGAGGGACATGAACTTGGAGAAGAAAGCAGAAAGAGCTCTAAGCACTTGAGCGTTTCTGAGTTCTATCGCTATCAAGCCATTGTCACGTCCAAATTACTATTACTTGGCCACCAACCATCTGGTCTCCATCGTCGAACCATCCTTGCTTCCACGTGAACTTCGTCGCAACAGGACCACCACTATCTAACCACCGCCGTCTATATGTCGCTGCAGTCGGACCACCATTACCTAGCCACCACCACCACAGGCGCTTAGCCGCCACCATTGCCTTCTAGTTGTCGCTAGAGTAGGACCACTATCGTGGCTACAGTACCATCGCAACATGGCCACAGTCGCCACTTGTCAGACCACCATCGTTATCTAGCCACTATTTTTGAGCCATCGATGCTCGGTCTCCGCCGTTATTTATGACAGATTTCTACCGCGTTATTAGACTACCAGAGTCACTACCACCAGACCTCTACTGCTTGACCATCACTGTCGTTGTCTCTACCATCGACATTAACATCAGACTTTCCAACACTCGACCTCTACCGCCAATTTTTCTTCACTTCAGTAGGGTCACTAACGCTTAGCTTTTTTATCACTTCTCTAGCAAAAGTTACATTTCACTCGTGTAATATTACTTTCAGCCATTCAAGGGCTGGTAAAGTTTTGTAACCTACTTCGTATAGTGGAATCATTTCGACTGGGTCAGGTGTTAAGGTTTTTGCCTCTTCGAGTCTTTTACGTAAAAGCTCCTGGTGTTCTCTCTATCATTTTTATTTCATCCATGCGTGTACTAGATTTCTATACAATATTAAGACGTTAACATATTATTATACCTCAACAAATTTATCAGCACACAACAATTCCATATGAAAATGTGGGAATTATTCATATTAGCATGCCTTGAGAGAGCGAATATACTTAACACGACCAACCTTGAGAGAGCGAATAACCAAACTTATTCAAAATGTGGGAATTCTCTTAACACGACCAACCAAAAAAAAGCTTAAAATGCTTAGGTTTCCATTAGAACTAGATAGTTCTAAGAGCAAAGTTGGCCTCAACTCATTTTGAATAAGTTTGACAAATAACAACATATCTATTAAATCATAACTTCATTTTTTAAGACATGTGGACACACTTAATAGAGCTTGTGAAATGTGGCATTACGCAAAATAGAATTAATTATATTGAAAATTTAAACATTTTATTTATTTATATAATACGTTATTGAAATAACCACATTAAAATATAGGGGCATTAACATACATACCTCTCAATTCTTATGTATTTACATATCTAACATCTAAACTTTACGTTTTACACTTATACCGCCCAAATCATTCACATAACATCAAAAATACCACCATTTTTACTTCTAAAATGTCAAATACATCTTTCCATGCAAAGTTAGGGGGTGGACATACGTAAAAATTGAAGTTTGTGTGCTAGATATGTAAATATATCAGAGTTTAATGGTATGTATGTTAATATTACTATAATATATACATGAGAAGGTGTCTCTTAAAAAAATATTAATACAACTAATATTTTTAATATTATGTTTAAAGACTCGAGTGCTCATGAGTAAATATCAAATTTTTGTATTAATGATGTAAATACATATAAGAAGTGTTCATATTATTATTATTATTATATTATTATTATTATTTACATTTATTCACTTTGATTTATGATTATTTTTTTATAATTCTTCTTCTTTTTTCATTTGTTAGGTTTGGGTTGTGTTGACTTCACTTTTGGTTGAGGTCTAGAAACTTCTTTAGTAGCCTAGGTCTAGCCATAGGACTTTCCTATTGACTAGTCTTAGAAAACTAGAAAAGGTACCCTCACCATTAGAAATTCAAAACTCTTCTCTTTACTCAACTTGAAATTCCACATATTGACCTTAACCTCTAGCATTTAGTAGGTAAGATCATTATGGGGGAAGTTCAAGAAGAGTTCCTATAGGGCTATTTGGCCTTAGGATTGACCCTGGGTGCTGACTTGGAACTAGGGTACACCATATCTTCACAATATATTAATCCATGGTTCATTTAGAATGGATATCTATCCAATTCTATGTGAAATGCCTAACTTGGTCTTTTGCCCCTAGGCACCTCCAAATTACCTAACTGCCCTTGGGACCCAAATTTGGTCAAAATTCATAAATTTTGCCAAAATACCTAAAATTGATCAAAACTCATTCCAAACACTTTGAATACATCAAAATTTGCCAAAACTGACAAAAATGGCCAAATTACCAAAATGCCCCTCCATGACCTAAAAATCTAAAAATTCCAAAAATTCCCCAATAAATCCCAATAAATCCAAAATATTCATTTTGTCCAACTACACCTTGTTCCAATTTGGTCAATTTTACCATCTTTGACAAAATCCCCAAATTAGCCCCAATATTGGCTAACACCCAAA